ACTCTGGAGGATTCGAAAAAGACACATTTTTCACAATTTGTTGTTTTAGTGTTTGGTCACACAATACTTGCTCTTTTTTTCCCACCATGTGTCAAACAGACTGTATGTGTCTGATCTGTTACATTGTTGGTCACAGTACTTTTTATAAAGTCGCCCAGGTGAGCTGTGCATTAACGAAACTGTTGCTTTACCTGCTCCGTGCTTGTAAAACTATCCACCAGATAACACCTCTCTCTCTGGTTCATTGCGAAATGCTGAAACAGGTTCCTGACTGTTAATATACCGGCGGCCCGCCCAAGTAAATCTATGTGTGTCACAGACTATTAATTATTATTAACAATATAATCTTAATAATGAATTATTATTAACAGCAGTATTTCTCCTGTTAATGTACTTTGGTTGTCTGTATTTTTGCCTGTCTTTTGATTAGCCTTTTTGCCTTTCCCCTTATGGACTTGTTTGCCTTTTTGTAGATTACACGTGTATCGAACCTTACTTCAGTGAGAAAGAACTGATTTACCTCTAAAACCTGTTTGTGTTTTGAGTCGTGTAATTGACTGTCAATGTCTGGTGTGTTTAACAGTGACAGAGAGCAACGTTTTATGTTGTAGTGAAATTAAATACTCATGGAGTTTGGCCTGGACAGGTTTTGTAACCTCCTCCTGTGTATTTGCACAACAAGAGGATATATGTGCTTAAAGCCAAGAAAATGTCAAGACCAAGTAAAGTAAGGTTGAATAACATCTTGAGTGAAATAATGTGCATCCTGTTGTTGGCTATGGGTGTTGTGTATAAGTACTGCCTCTCCTCAGTCATATCTGTGTGATGCTGATGATGGCTCTGGCTTGCAAACAATAAAGATCTACTGAGTATCTGAATATCGTGTCATCTGGTATTTCTGCACTAGACTGGAACTCATCTTTAAACGGGCACTGCAGTCAGCATCAGGTTTGTTAGATTTGCCTTCAATTAACAAGAACTATTAAAGTAGTTATGACTCTTGTCTATCAGAAACAAAGGAGGAATTCAGGTGACAGTCTGCATAGGGAGGAGGTCGAGGTGGATGTGGAACACAGTAGGCTACTGTTAGTTTCCCATTTCAATCGGTCTATGTAAATTTCATTTAAGCATGACCACAGTCTTTCTCCTGCCTTTAACCAAGTGGTTATTATTGTAACCATGACGACAAATTTCCACTAAACTTAAGCCATACCTTTAACCCAAACCACAATACCTGTTTTCTTTTTTTGTTATTGGTGCCATATATATCCCACCCACTGACAGGAGCTATGATAACCAGATAATCAGTGTCATTCACTTCACCTGTGAGCGCTCATAATGCCATGGCTGATCAGTATGCATGGTACATTGGTGAAATATTGGCAACACTGACAAAGACGAAACCAAGATATTGCTAAACTAACCAAACCCTGGTCCCAACCAATGTTAAAACCACATTTAAGAGAAGTTTCCTGCATGTGGTGCAAAGTAAAATAGTATGGGTGTATCCTCAATAATTTCATTGGTAATATTAATCCAAACACATCCCAAAAGTGACAGACAACCATTTTACTGCACAATGATTACTTTTACTTTTCATAGTTGGGTCAGTATTTCAGCAAAAACAGAAAAAACTATCAAACAGTCCACTTAATGTTGATGCACTTTAAAAAACCTTCTTAAAATGACTGCCTTATTCCTTAAAAAGCTGTTTGCTGCTATTGTTTTTTACAGGTGTCTGGCGAAACTTCTGCAAGTCAGCAAACAAGTGGGTGCACGTTTTCCTGAGAAGTTTATACATAAATCTATTCAGCTATTGGCATTTATTACCACAGATTCTCTGGAACTGGATAAAGGAGGCGCTTGACAACACATTATCATCGACTGAACAACTTAAAAGCAGCATCAGGGATCTTATGTTCTGTTCTGTTGCCCACAGTGGTTGGTTCAGGTTTGGTTATGGATAGGTGTTGTAGAGTTAACTGGTTAAAATGCCTGATTTCAGGGCAACTTTTCAAAACAATTGCAATAATTTAAGGTATTTTTTCCCCCATGAAATTGCAGGAGAAAGAGAACATTTAACTTTTAACATATACGATTCAGACTGATACGTCTTTATTGGTCTGTGCTGTAGACCAAGAGACTGCAAAAAATGTATTAAAATTTGCAACTATATCATGTCCAATGCCTGTTGTTGTTTGATTATCAGGTGATAGATATTAAATATTATAACATTATACATTCACAGTTTCAAAGCATAATTTACATGATATCTTCAGTAGTTCAACCTACAAGTTTCTCTTTAAAGATAAAAGATAAGTTGAATAGAAATGGTTCAGTAAACTAATGTTTTGTTTTATTTAAGTAACAAGATGATGTTCACTGCAGTGACAGATCATGGTAGACACTCTGGAGGATTCGAAAAAGACACATTTTTCACAATTTGTTGTTTTAGTGTTTGGTCACACAATACTTGCTCTTTTTTTCCCACCATGTATCAAACAGACTGTATGTGTCTGATCTGTTACTTTGTTGGTCAGCAGTACTTTTCATAAAGTCGCCCAAGAATTTTTTCAGGTGAGCCGCGCATTAACGAAACTGTTGCTTTACCTGCTCCGTGCTTGTAAAACTATCCACCAGATAACACCTCTCTCTCTGTTTCTTTGCGAAATGCTGAAACAGGTTCCTGACTGTTAATATACCGGTGGCCTGCCCAAGTAAATCTATGTGTGTCACAGACTATTAATTATTATTAATAATATAATCTTAATAATTAATTATTATTAACAGCAGTATTTCTCCTGTTAATGTACTTTGGTTGTCTGTATTTTTGCCTGTCTTTTGATTAGCCTTTTTGCCTTTCCCCTTATGGACTTGTTTGCCTTTTTGTAGATTACACGTGTATCGAACCTTACTTCAGTGAGAAAGAACTGATTTACCTCTAAAACCTGTTTGTGTTTTGAGTCGTGTAATTGACTGTCAATGTCTGGTGTGTTTAACAGTGACAGAGAGCAACGTTTTATGTTGTAGTAAAATTAAATACTCATGGAATTTGGCCTGGACAGGTTTTGTAACCTCCTCCTGTGTATTTGCACAACAAGCGGATATATGTGCTTAAAGCCAAGAAAATGTCAAGACCAAGTAAAGTAAGGTTGAATAACATCTTGAGTGAAATAATGTGCATCCTGTTGTTGGCTATGGGTGTTGTGTATAAGTACTGCCTCTCCTCAGTCATATCTGTGTGATGCTGATGATGGCTCTTGCTTGCAAACAATAAAGATCTACTGAGTATCTGAATATCGTGTCATCTGGTATTTCTGCACTAGACTGGAACTCATCTTTAAACGGGCACTGCAGTCAGCATCAGGTTTGTTAGATTTGCCTTCAATTAACAAGAACTATTAAAGTAGTTATGACTCTTGTCTATCAGAAACAAGGGAGGAATTCAGGTGACAGTCTGCATAGGGAGGAGGTCGAGGTGGATGTGGAACACAGTAGGCTACTGTTAGTTTCCCATTTCAATCGGTCTATGTAAATTTCATTTAAGCATGACCACAGTCTTTCTCCTGCCTTTAACCAAGTGGTTATTATTGTAACCATGACGACAAATGTCCACTAAACTTAAGCCATACCTTTAACCCAAACCACAATACCTGTTTTCTTTTTTTGTTATTGGTGCCATATATATCCCACCCACTGACAGGAGCTATGATAACCAGATAATCTTTTTGTAGATTACACGTGTATCGAACCTTGCTTCAGTGAGAAAGAACTGATTTACCTCTAAAACCTGTTTGTGTTTTGAGTCGAACAACAAGAGGATATATGTGCTTAAAGTCTGAACAGTGGCATACTTTGTACTGGACGTTAGGATGGATATGTCAGGTCTGCTTTGCCTCGCCACCCACAATATCTGGGCAATCTTTGACTTAAGCATATCATATTCAGTGTCTGTTAAGGGGGCCTCTCGCTGTGTGGCTCTGGTGGGGTCCACAGGAATGGGCTGGAGATTTTTTATGTACATCCATTGTTGCACCTGTATTTCATCCTCCACAGAGAGAACCTCCATTCCAATGTAGTTGAAGCTGTTTTGTTCTTCACGCCCAATTTGAAAAGCAGCTTTCAAGTGAGGGATGACTGTCATGGAGAACGTTTCTGATTCTGTCTCAATTCGGCATTTAGTTTGTGCTATCACAGCTGGGATTTTCACTTTCTTTGTGGAGTGGACAATTCTCCCATCACCAAACTTGAATGGTCTTGCACTTTTCATGTCCTTCATTTTCAGTAACTCATCCTGTGTTAGTTGACCGACATAATGATCAAGCCATTTTTCGCCACACACTGTTCTGGTGCAAGCTGTGTCAATCACAGCAAATCCCAGAGACTCCAACATGAAAATCTTTGTGTCAGACAATGTGTCTTTAGACAATAAAGTAATGTTGCATTCTTCAACCTCTGTTTGTCTTTCATCTTCTGTTTGTTTAGCATGTTCATTTTTGTGGGGGCAGTCCTTCGCCCAGTGATATAAGCTTTGGCAGACTGCACATCTCGTTCTCCTACCATATCTGTCAAGCGGATTGGTACCTTGAACAGCTGCTTGATGTTGCAGATTTGACCTCCAGCCGGTAAACTTTGTGTAGTAGGCAGCGTCAGTTGCATCTCCGCTCAGTGTTCAGTGTACTGTGTCACTTTTGCCTGCAGTCTGAACACAGCCTAAGTGTAGCTAACAGGTAGGAATGCTACTCGTTGCATGCTACATGCCTGCTAAAAAGAGCTAGAAATAGCAACTAGCTAACTGGCTGGCTAAACTTTCTCAAAATAATGACGTATTATCAATAACATCGTCACTTGAATTCCTCCTTTGTTTCTGATAGAAAAAAGTCCTAACTGCTTTAATAGTGCTTGTTAATTGAAGGCAAATCTAACAAACCTGATGCTGACTGCAGTGCCCGTTTAAAGATGAGTTCTAGTCTAGTGCAGAAATACCAGATGACACGATATTCAGATACTCAGTAGATCTTTATTGTTTGCAAGCAAGAGCCATCATCAGAATCACACAGATATGACTGAGGAGAGGCAGTACTGAGACACAACACACATAGCCAACAACAGGATGTACATTATTTCACTCAAGATGCTATTCAACCTTACTTTACTTGGTCTTGACATTTTCTTGGCTTTAAGCACATATATCTGTGTATTTAGTTTCCCAACAACATAAAACATTGTAATGTAATGGTGGACTATGCTAGCGAAAGCAGAACAATGTTGGAAAAACTTGATTATAAGAATTTCCCTCACATACAGTCGATGGCATCTGAGATCAGTGAAGTGGAGTCATTGAATTCTCACATTCCACTGACCAGAAAACCACTGAAGGTGGTTGTGTAGCCGGACGCCCAAATACGATTGTCTGGACTCAGGCGCACGTACACCTGATCGTTTTCATTCAGCTGCAGGAATGCTGCATTTCCTGCGTTATCAGCAGTGGTTGCATTCTTATCAAAGGCCTCGACAATGCAGCTGTCACTCTTCATCAGTTTCAGGGCTGATTTAGAATTTTCTCCAGCATGGTAGAAGAAGGTAAAATAATAATAACCTGCAACAGGAGCTTTGAAGATACCTGAGGAAAAAAAGAGTATTCATTAAATTCAAAGGTTTCTGGAAAGCTTTGAGAAAACTATTGGGGAAACAAACTTCTTTTACCTTAAAAGGTTTGAGTGGATCGAATTGAAAGTTCAAAGAATGAATAGAATTACTATTATTATTGTAAGCATTGGGACAGGCATAGATAATGTACTCTGAACAGATAAAAAAAAGTAATATTTTATCAGGTACATGGTTTAAACATTAGATTATTTTGTCACCAATAGTGTTGTACCGTTCCTTAGACCTCACTCTTACCATTTGAATTACATGAATCGCTATTCGGTATAAAAATAATAAGGTGGAAGTTCATTAACCAACCCTAGTTTGCAGTTGAAGTTGAACGGTTGAATAAATGTTATAGATAGTGAGAAGTTACACCCCTAAAACACAGACCATAGACAATACTCTTAAACATGTGAAATGAACTGAAATTAAATGGAATAAAATTGATCTAAAATTTGCATTAAAATACATTCAAATCTACATTTAAGATTGAGACAGATCTCCTGATTGTTGAAACAACAGGTAGGTAAAAGGAAGACATAATGAAGATATATAGCCATACAAAATATGTATTAATTAGAAAATATTGGTTATTGGAGTTTTATTGGTCTGGTATTGCACTGGTAATCAATAGTTAGATTACTGATATGATTTATGGTACACAGATACAGTATATTTATTTAGTATGTAAAATGTGTCAACATAACTCAAACCAAACAGATAGATGATTGTAAGTGTGGCTGCAGGTGATGTATTTACCTGAAGTGCCGTCGTAGGCATTACCAATGTTGGTAATCACTTTGTTGTAAACCACAGTTGTCTCTGCTTCAAAGGGTCCGAAGTTACCACCTTGATCTGCCACTGCAGTGAACATGATCTTTTTACCTATATAAAACAAACAAAACTTTATATTATGTAATATCTATCAGCAGATAATCAAACAACAGGAGGCATTGGAGAGGATGTAGTTGTTAGCTTTAATTCACTTTTTGCAGCCTTTGAGTTTACAGCACAGATCAATAAATACTTATTTGTCTGAATCTTAGTATCAAATGTGTCTCTCTCAACAATTAAAGTTTATTAAAAAGTGAAATCAGAGTTAAAATCTCCATTAACTGCAGCTGTTTGATTATCAGCTGAAAGAGATTCAACATCATACATGTAGAGTTGGCAGAAGTACACACATTCCTTATTTAAGTAGTACAGATACTAGTACAGATAAGTACAGATACTTGTGTAAAAAAAGACTTTGGTGAAGTAGAAGTACTCAAAGTATAAAAGAAAAAAGTAGTGTTTGTGTGAAGGACATTTCTATCGGCTGTTTCTGTGCAAAGCAAACTGAAACTTCAAATAGGGAGTCTCTTTCTCTTTCTTTTGTCTGTTTCGATGTGTTACGTCGTTTTCAACATTTTCATTGTTACGTCTGTTGTGCGCGATATGCACCGGTCTTTGTGATGTAAAGGCGTGTAATAATGAAAACAAACAAAATGAAAACAATTCGTAGTTCTCCTCATATGCGTTAAAACGAGACTAACGAGCCTGTTTTGACAATGTAAGAAGTAGAAAGTACAGATATTTGTGTTATAATGTAGGAGGTAAAAGTAAAAAGCTAGCACTATTACCCTACTATCTATCTATCTATCTATCTATCTATCTATCTATCTATCTATCTATCTATCTATCTATCTATCTATCTATCTATCTATTCATTTATTATTTAACAAATTGTCACTTTTTCTGTTTCAAATCCAGTTTCTATAACATTTTTCCACATGTTAGTTAAGTGAGGCCACCAACCTAAAAGTGAGTCTGTAATTAATTCTTCATTTGTCTTTAAAGATAAAGTTTCACTCTACCTGCCATCTCTGTTGGTTGGTCACTTCTGTTGGGATGGTCGACAGACTGTTTCTCTCTCGTCCTTGCTGCGTCTCTGAAGCTGTGAATCATAAGATCGCTGATGCTGCTTTTATGCTGCTGTCAAGCACCTCCTTTACCCAATTCCAGATAATCTGTGGTGGTGTGACATGCCAATAGCTGAATAGATTTAGGTACAAACTTCTCAGGAAATCGTGCACCTGCTTGTTTGTTGACTTGCAGAAGTTTCGCCAGACCACTGTAAAAAACAATAGCAGCAAACAGCTTTTTAAGGAATAACGGAGTCATTTTAAGAAGCTTTTTTTTAGAGGGCATCAACATTAAGTGGACTGATGGAAATAACTAGCTAACTAACCCTTCAAATAAACCTGTGTCTAACGTTTTTGATTACTGTTTCTGTTTTTGCTCAAATACATACAATAATTTGATACTTTTGACTCTAATGCCAATAAACACAAGCCACAATCCAGAGGTCCAATCAGATGTTAAGATTTTTTGAATTATTTTTGGTCAGTTTCAAATGAATTCATCTTCTCCCCAAGAGCAGCCTCATCTTTGATTTTAACTTTATTTGAATTATTCCATCATTTTCTATCATTGATGTGAGCAAGTGAACATTTTGGCCTCACAGTTGATGTGTTAGAAGCAGGAAAAATTGGCAGTGTGATGATTTGAGCAACTTTGACAAGGACCACATTGTAATAAGTAGACAGCTGGGTCAGAACATCTCCAAACCTGCAGCTCTTGTGGGGTGTTCCCGGTCTGCAGAGGTCAGAACCTATCAAAAGTGGTCCAAGGAAGGAAAAGCAGTGAACAAGTGACAGGGTCATGTGTAGCAAAGGCTCATTGATGCATGCGTGGTCCGACCCAACAGACGAACTACTGTAGCTCAAACTACTGAAAACGTTATTTTGTATAAATGTTTTGTTAATTGGAAACTTTTAGGTTTCCCTCACACAGTTTTTATCCAATAAACTTAGAAATGTTATACAAAAAATCAATTTACAAAACTGATGTGAATACATTCTTATATGCACTTCTAACCAAAAAAATTTTGCTATTTCCAACCCCTGGATTGGGCTAGACATTAAAGTTGTTTGCGGTTTTTTCTGCTCTGCTTGGAACAAAATCAGAACCACAGTCAATTTTGTTATTCTCAAAAAGGCTGTCATGTAGATATGATTGTTAAATCACAAGAACAAGAACATACATGCCTTGTCTTTAAATTAGTCCACATCTTCATTGACTTTTCCAGCAAATGAAGATCATTAAACAACACAACATTTTTGACCACTTTCACTGAATTTTGGGTGTTTGATTGAACTTTAAAACACGTGTGTTCTTCCCTACCCAGAAGGGCCATTGGGTTACACTGTGCAAACACACACACACAGTGCATATAACGCACACATACACACAAATAACATACACACAAACACCACAAATACACACACACACACACACACACACACACACACACACACACACACACACACACACCCCGAAGGACCACAGGTGTCATTATTTGTCACCATTGAAAAAAAATAAATGCTTTCAAAACAGTGTCCTGACTAAACTTTGACATATACCAGACTGCGATAATCAATCAACATATATTCCTATTGTATTAACTATAGTCAAAATGATTCAGATTTTTAGCTTTTCTTAAAACAAAACAATGCAATATAAGTTTGCATAAATTAGGTTTACTGACCCTAAATTAATGAAATTAGGGTCAAGCTTGGTGTTAATGAGTTGGTATTGAGTTGACTAATAAGATGAAACACAATATTGGATCATAATTCATAACCTATGTTTTTTAATCGTGTAAGTCAAACCAGACTGGGGTCAAATTCATGATGGAGGAACACAACTGCATAGTCAATGGGAAGGTATTATGAGCGTTAAGTTGTTCGATCGATGATAATGTGTCGTCACATGCCAGTAAACTTTTCTTTGTCCAGTTCCAGAGAATCTGTGCTGTGGGAAATACCAATGGCTGAATAGATTTATAAAGTATTTTAAACGTGCACCTACTTGTTTGTTGACTTGGAGAAGTTTCGCCAGACCACTGTAAAAAACAACAGCAGCAAACAGGTTTTTCTAAGGCAGTCATTTTAAGAAGCTTTTTTTTTAAAGTGCATCAACATTAAGTGGACTGATTAATTAATTAATATTACTAATAAAAACCCACATATGAATATTATATACCAATATATCAGATTATGTCACACACAATAAACCAGTGGATTACTCCACAGCACAAGAGCTATAGTAGGCGTTAGTGAGTCGGGGCAGTTGCCATAGGCTGGGCTCCATTTAGGTGTGGCACCAGCAAATGACATCCTGACAAGAATACATTTCTCAAGAAGATGGGGGCTGCACTAACTTGTTCACCGGTTTGCAGATGTGTCACCTATATACATGAAGTGGGGGGTTATGTTCAGTACATGCATGTTGTCTGTGTTGTCTTTATCCTTCAAAACCTTATCTTCAAAAGAACAAGGAGAATTATTTCATCCTACCCGGTTTGATATCTGTAACTGCTTCTGGTTTTGAACAGGAAACATATAAATGGACAATAACCTTGTCTCTGTACTTGTATTGTTAGATCTTAGTGCTGCATTTGACACCATTGACCATCCTAATGTATTACAGAGACTTGAGCATCTTATAGTTTATATAGCTTATAGTTAGGGCTGGCTCAGGTGAGTCCTGAACCATCCGTTAGTTATGCTGCTCTAGGCCTAGACTGCCGGGGGATTTCCCAAGGTGCACTGAGCTCCTCTCTTCCTCTCTCTTTATGCACTCATTCATGTCCCATTAATGCATGTTACTAACTTCACTTCTTCCCCGGAGTTCTTGTGCTTTCTCGTCTCGCAGGTTCTCATGGATCCTGGTGGAGCCTCCTGCCATGGTCCTGGTTGATTCCTACTGCTAATGTTACTGATATTATTGTTATTATAATATTTTTTTATTATTATTATTATTACTACAGTTACTATTATTACTATTATCAGACAGGCGCACGTACACCTGATTGACTGCATTCAGCTGTTATCAGCACTGCCTGCATTCTTATCAAAGGCCTCGACAATGCAGCTGTCACTCTTCATCAGTTTCAGGGCTGATTTAGAATTTGCCCCAGCGTGGTAGAAGAAGGTAAAATAATAATAACCTGCAACTGGAGCTTTGAAGATACCTGAGGAAACAAAAGAGTATTGATCACATTCAAAGGTTTCTGGAAAGTTTTGAGAAAACTAGAGGGGAAAAAACTTTTTTTACCTTAAAAGGTATAAGTGGATCAAATTAAATGTATTCTCATTTATTATAATAACAAGTCAGGGGTGTAACGGAATAGAAATACTATTATTATTTTAAGCATTTGGATATGCACGGATAATGTGCTCTGAACACATAAGAATAAGTGATATTAATTCAGGTACATGGTTTAAATATTAAATAAACCCGAGTTTGCAGTTGAAGTTGAACGGTTGAATAAATTTTATAGATAGAGAGAAGGTACACCCCTAAAACACAGACCATAGACAATACTCTCAAACATGTGAAATGAACTGAAATTAAATGAATTCAAATTTTTGTAAAATAAATTAAATCTACATTTAAGATTGAGACAGATCTCCTGATTGTTGAAACAACAGGTAAGTAAAAGGAAGACATAATGAAGACATATAGACATACAAAATATGTATTAATTAGAAAATATTGGTTATTGGAGTTTTATTGGTCTGGTATTGCACTGGTAATCAATAGGTAGATTACTGATATGATTTATGGTACACAGATACAGTATATTTATTTAGTATGTAAAATGTGTCAACATAACTCAAACCAAACAGATAGATGATTGTGAGTGTGGCAGCAGGTGATGTATTTACCTGAAGTGCCGTCATAGGCATTACCAATGTTGGTGATCACTTTGTTGTAAACCACAGTTGTGTCTTTTTCGAATCCTCCAGAGTGTCTACCATGATCTGTCACTGCAGTGAACATCATCTTGTTACTTAAATAAAACAAAACATTAGTTTATTGAACCATTTCTATTCAACTTATCTTTTATCTTTAAAGAGAAACTTATAGGTTGAACTACTGAAGATATCATGTAAATTATGCTTTGAAACTGTGAATGTATAATGTTATAATATTTAATATCTATCACCTGATAATCAAACAACAACAGGCATTGGACATGATATAGTTGCAAATTTTAATACATTTTTTGCAGTCTCTTGGTCTACAGCATAGACCAATAAAGACATATCAGTCTGAATCTTAAATGTTAAAAGTTAAATGTTCTCTTTCTCCTGCAATTTCATGGGGGAAAAAATACCTTAAATTATTGCAATTGTTTTGAAAAGTTGCCCTGAAATCAGGCATTTTAACCAGTTAACTCTACAACACCTATCCATAACCAAACCTGAACCAACCACTGTGGGCAACAGAACAGAACATAAGATCCCTGATGCTGCTTTTAAGTTGTTCGATCGATGATAATGTGTTGTTATGTGTTGTTTATCCAGTTCCAGAGAATCTGTGGTGTGACATACCAATAGCTGAATAGATTTATGTATAAACTTCTCAGGAAAACGTGCACCTACTTGTTTGCTGACTTGCAGAAGTTTCGCCAGACACCTGTAAAAAACAATAGCAGCAAACAGCTTTTTAAGGAATGAGTCATTTTAAGAAGCTTTTTTTAAAGTGCATCAACATTAAGTGGACTGTTTGATGTTTTTTCTGTTTTTGCTGAAATACTGACCCAACTATGAAAAGTAAAAGTATTCATTGTGCAGTAAAATGGTTGTCTGTCACTTTTGGGATGTGTTTGGATTAATATTACTAATGAAATTACTGAGGATACAGCCAAACTATTTTTCTTTGCACCACATGCAGGAAACTTCTCTTAAATGTGGTTTTAACATTGGTTGGGACCAGGGTTTGGTTAGTTTAGGAATATCTTGGTTTGTCGCCAATATTTCACCAATGTACCATGTACACTGATCAGAAGTTTCGCCAGACACCTGTAAAAAACAATAACAGCAAACAGCTTTTTAAGGAATGAGGCAGTCATTTTAAGAAGCTTTTTTTAAAGTGCATCAACATTAAGTGGACTGATTGATGTTTTTTTTTTTTTTTTTTACTTTGTCTGTTTTTGCTGAAATACTGACCCAACTATGAAAAGTAAAAGTGTTCATTGTGCAGTAAGAAGGTTCTTTGTCACTGTTATACACACCAGACATTGACAGTCAAAGACACGACTCAAAACAGGTTTTAGAGGTAAATCAGTTCTTTTTCACTAAAGCAAGGTTCGATACACGTGTAATCTACAAAAAGGCAAATAGGGGGGAAAGGTCCATAAGGGGAAAGGAAAAAAGGCTAATCAAAAGACAGGCAAAAATACAGACAACCAAAGTACATTAACAGGAGAAATACTGCTGTTAATAATAATTAATTATTAAGATTATATTGTTAATAATAATTAATAGTCTGTGACACACATAGATTTACTTGGGCGGGCCGCCGGTATATTAACAGTCAGGAACCTGTTTCAGCATTTCACAAAGAACCAGAGAGAGAGGTGTTATCTGGTGAATAGTTTTACAAGCACGGAGCAGGTAAAGCAACAGTTTCGTTAATGCGCGGCTCACCTGAAAAAAGTCTTGGGCGACTTTATGAAAAGTACTGCTGACCAACAAAGTAACAGATCAGACACATACAGTCTGTTTGATACATGGTGGGAAAAAAAGAGTAAGTATTGTGTGACTAAACACTAAAACAACAAAGTAAGGTAGAGAAGGGGAATATGTTACAAATGGTGCCAGCCAATATATAAACTTGTCAATTCATAATTTGTTAATTATTCGAGATTTAATATTTGATAGTTAAATTAAAGAAGGCTACAATATAAAGATAAGGCTTAAAATAGACCCAGCGATGGATGATGGGTCTTGAAAACCCTGATGGGAGCACCCCTATTATTTTCTGTAGTTGTTTCATTTGAATTTAAACTAAGCCATTATATAATAAAATTAAGACACAATTTTGTTTTATTTTTATTATCTTCTAATATCTTCAAATATTTCTCAATACAGAATTAATAAGATATCAAAACAGGAATGGTTGTCTTAAAAGAGACTTAAAATATGTACAATAATTTGATACTTTTGACTCTAATGCCAATAAACACAAGCCACAATCCAGAGGTCCAATCAGATGTTAAGATTTGTTGAATTATTTTTGGTCAGTTTCAAATGAATACATCTTCTCCCCAAGAGCAGCCTCATCTTTAATTTTAACTTTATTTGAATTATTCCATCATTTTCTATCATTGATCTGGATGCAAAATAGAATCTACAGCAAATGTTCTCACTGCTTGGACAAATAAAACCTCTCTTTGTACAAACGTGCTAATCATGACCTTCATCTGTAACACTGGGGTTAATTCTATAATTCTACTATTTTGTTTTTAAGGAATAAGGGAGTCATTTTAAGAAGCTTTTTTTAAAAGGCATCAACATTAAGTGGACTGATGGAAATATCTTGGTCCACTATCGTTATCCTTCAAATTAATTTGTATAAAGTTTTGTTTACTGTTTCTGTAAAGTAAAAGTATTCATTGTGCAGTAAAATTGTTCTCTGTCACTGTTATATAAGAGAGGCTAAATAAAAAGAAAATAATGCAGGGGTCTCAAAACTGCTGGCTGCAACAAACAAAACAATATTTTGTTGAGTTCTCCGATTGATTGGCCTCCATTTGTAATCGGCTGATATTCTAAAACAATTTCAGCAGATTCATCTAATTTTATTTAGTTTTATAAATGGCAATCACAAAAGTTAATCAGATTTACTCATTTATTTTATTCCACAGGAAGGTTAGTCAATCTGTGTTTGTGTCTTCTTCATGAGTAAGTCTGCAGTTAAAGGACAGGCCAAAAGACTGACCAGTCAAAGCACTGCACATGTAGTCTGCTGAATCGGGATTACAAAACTTGGACGGACTCCAAAGTGACTCGCTTCTGTGGAATTAATTATTACAACCCTAGGGATGGGTGGAGTCAATTAATTAATATATAATATATAATATTATAATATTAATATCTCACCATTACCAGTTAACCTTTTTCCTCTTTATTTTGCTTCCCTATTCAGGACTTCGATCAGTGGTGCCTGCAAATATGCAACACTGCAACCCCCTCCAACTTACAGACTACAGACTCATTCATTATGTTCCTTTTGTCGAAGTTTAAAACAAAAAGATTGTTTAAAACACTTATATTGTTTTAAACCTAGTGTGGTAGTTCTAAGACCAATTTGTGTTGGACCACTTTGTTTGTGCTCCCAGTTTTTTGGGGGGGCTTTTGTTTGTTCAGTGTGGTGAGTACCCAGATTGCCTCCCTGACTTGTTACTGGCAGTCAGCGTCAGGTTTGTTATATTTACCTTTAATTGACAAACTTTATTAAAGCTGTTATGACATAGTCAAAATATTGAGATAATACATCATTATTTAGAGAAAGTTTCTCATTATGTTGAGAATGTTTCTCAGTATTTTGAGATACTTAGTCAAAATATTGAGATACTTAGTCAAATACTGAGATACTAGGTCAAAATATTGAGATAATAAATGAAAATATTGAGAATGTTTCTCATTATTTTGAGATAATAAGTTATTTTGAGATACTTAGTCAAAATACTGAGGTACTAGGTCAAAATATTGAGACAGTTTCTCATTATTTTGAGATAAGTCATTATTTTGACCTAGTATCTCATTATTTTGAGATAATAAGTTATTTTGAGATACTTAGTCAAAATACTGAGATACTAAGTCAAAATATTGAGACCGTTTCTCATTGTTTTGAGAAAGTTTATCATTATTTTGAGATAAGTCAGTATTTTGAGATACTTATCTGACTGTTATCATACCATTGAATAAGCGTTATCCTGATACAATCATCCCACCGATATGGGCCAGTAGGGGCCTACTCTACCTACTAGTAGGTGCAGGAGGCAGTTATCACCCATTCATCTGGCTGGTCCAATACTATTCAAGCCCAGCAGGTACAGAAGGTGTGTTATCGAGCAGAGCAGTCACGTGACTGTCAGATTTCTGTCTGCATTTTCTTTTCTTTTCAGTGGAAAAACAACATTTTAAGATATTTTTGGCATTAGAGTTCGTTGTGATAACCATGACACTGTCAAGTTAGCAACAACACAACAACACGTTTACCCACGTCCGGGTGGACTGAATTGGCAGCAGCAGCTCCTGAACCACCGCTGAAGGTGAGGTGGACGGAGAGGGACGTGGATGGAAACACGCTTTCCATGAGGCCAGGAGTCACGCGGATCCAGACATGGTTAGTATTTTATATTCTAGATATTTAAATGGTTTCAGTCCTGAATGTCAGTGTAGGCCAGTGGCAGGGATAACATGCAACACTGTCAATGGACTACAGTACCATCAGTTGCCCATAAATATGTAAAGTACACCAAAATGTTATTTATCAAAGTTTTAAGCTAAATACCACCAGGTCAGATCAATGTGTCATCTCTGATAGATCTCAAATCCTGAAAAATAAAGAAATACTTTTTGCTGCAAGCATGATTTGGCTAACATGAGTTACTTGACATTTTTCATGTAGGTGGTCTTGGAGCCTCTTTTCCAAAAGAAGACCCACGCCCCACCCAATAAATGAAATAGGAAAACTGTACTGTATAGTATAAATGTAGATCGCATACAGGTATTTTTAAAACAAATGTAAGTGTTAGACAAATATATGCTGCTTTAAGAGGTGTTTATGTTTTTTCTGCATTACAGCTGAATGCCGTTGTAAGACCGGTCTCACCTCACACTCTAATGTAGAGGGGACCTTTGCTCCAGAGACTGCTTCACACACAGATTCTGCTGGTATGTATTTCATTAGATATGTTCTGTGTATAATGTCTTGTACCTAGTATCTGCAAAATGAGCTATTGAACAAAACAAAGTCTCCAAAAAAAGCTTTATGACAACGTTTCTCCCTGTTGATATGCAATTGTCAAGCACTATTCACATTGTTTTATATGTTATATCTGTCATATAACAATATTTTCTTCTTATCTGTGTAACAATGAAGTCCATGTTTTTGCTAGTTGTATGCATATGATACAAAAACAACCTTGGGCCCCTTCTAACTACTCCATGTATTTCTTTTACAATTGCAATAGAATGTCTTTTGCAAGATCTGCAACACTCCCTGAGCTGCTCTGATGAAGAGCTTAGTTAAGCATCAGCAGACCAAAGAGCTCCTCTGGCTTCTCTGGATTGGAGCATTCGCAATGCTCTCTTTTCAGAGAGATGGAGGGAAAAGAGACCATCTCTTCTTAGTAGCATGCTGGCCAAGGAGAGCATGGCAACAAATGGCTGGTTGTAAATGTAAATATTACCTTGTAGGACGGTATGATCTCAACATGCCTGAGCTGACCTGCGAGGGATGCCAGGCAACTTGGACTGCAGGACTTGATGACCTGATAAAAAGTGGATACTGACCTGCCACCCTTCATTTTGTAACAATTTATGAGACAGACCTGTTTTATACGTTTGAAGACATTAAGATGGCATCACCCGGGATGTCTTTTCAGGCATATCTAAGAATGCTTGAGAAGCGGACTGCTCGCTTTGGCTGTGTAAGTATTTCTGTATATGTTTGTGTTTTGAAATGGAAAGGTCTTTGTTTAAAAAATTGTTTTGCGCTTTTTCTTTTTTACATAGACTGGGAAGATCTCATCAGACAGCTTCCAAAAAAAGCTTTTTTGAATGGGCTGCTGTACAATATGAGGTTGACTCCACCTGCAAGGAGGAGAAATTCATCTGTCCTGCCTGTACCCCAGCAATGCTTTCTGTCTCAGTGGATGGAAACCGTAAGCGTTACCGCTTCAAAAGTACTGCAAGGTATACAATAATGTACACCCACACTGTTTAAATGGCAAAATAGATAGTTATGTTTTATACAACAAGTAACCTTTCGATGTATGACATGTTAAAAAGATAGTTAAGGTGTTTTGAAGTGGGGTTGTATGAGGTACTTATCCATGGTCAGTCTGTTACCTACAGCAGACAATGGTCACCGCCACCCATCCCCTGCCTCTATTGTGGAGAAGCAGAAAAATGTGTTTTAGCCACATATAAAAGGCCCACCTGAAAAAAACCCAATATCCAGGATTGTAGTTGGGGTTAGATGTAGAAATATGCATTTCTACAGTTTAGACAATGTAGTGCCAAGGAAAAGGGCTGTCTGAACACTGTACTGTAGGTAACACACTTACTATGGATAAGTACCTTATACCACTCCACTTCAGAGTACTCAACTATCCTTTTAAACATGGAAGCCTTTTTATTTCTTGTTGTTTTTTTAGATCTCAGGTGCGGGCCATCTTTGACGGTGTCTTCATTGCAAAAGATGACGATGTGACCAGATTTGTGGATCACATCCACAGCAAAAAAAAAACATGTAATAGCAGACTTCAATTACTATCTCAATATAACATTATAATTCATAGTCTGTCAGTACTCCCATGTATTGTGATATCTACCTGTATACCTAATTGTTCTTAATCTGCTAACACTTATCTGTTCCTTGTCCCCCAAGAGAAATTTATAATTGTTCCCTGTAATGACTGTTGATGGGATTATTTGTCAATTATGATTTTCTACAATGTAGGTCACTGGTAGGAGCAATTGTGGTGGGGAGTGGTCAGCTGCCAGAGAGACCTCCCAAAGATCAAGCAGTAAGGTGGATGAGGAGGGACTGGAGCTGGCAGTGTGCAGGCATGATGTCTTGCTGGCTGCCCTTAATATGTTTGTACATGCTAAAGTGCATGACTTCAAATGTGAGGTTAGTATTATACAGTACATTTTTATCTAATGACTTGCAATCCTATAAATGATGCATATAAATGTGTAATGTTTAACTATCACTTAACAGATTATTTAACATTTGTATTGTTATAGTTGTTGATGTGAACAGCCCTTAATTGACACATCTACTTTTGTCAAGGATATTATTTTGCACCTGTCTGTGTATGTTTGTTTGTAAGCAAGATTACTCATGAGGTTTACCACTAATGTACACACAACTTGGTGGAAGGGTGACAGTTTGATTTTTGATTAGGTTTTAATTGAATTAAAAGTGACTGTTGGGCATTGCTTGAGGTCTCTGCTGTACTAAATTCCCTTGATGTTTATGTTTGGGTCCCTCTCTCCAGGTGAAATGGAGTAGCAAACCAAGAAGGTGCTGATAAAACACTAGGGGAGGAAGTAGAGCAATGTAATGCTTCCCTCTGCAGGATATCAGTCACCACAAAGCATATGTCAAAAGCAGGTGCTGTATAATTGTACCTCTGTATACAGAATAAAAGACATTTATATTATTACAAGTGAATCTTTACAGAACTCATCTCTGTGTACTTGCAGGACGCAATGACATGCTGACACTCCTGGCCATAAGATGGAACCAGCAGAAATGTCCAAACCTGGCTACTGGACTTTCCCAGAGATACCATAAGGTAAATAGAAACAATATTGGTGCAATGGCACAGTGTAGGTCAATGAAACACACATACAGTTTTGTGCACATAGGCTTGTGATACATGATAGTTACAACATTTGCCTGATTTGAGTTGCATTTGTACACTGTATACGTTGTACTGACTTTTAGCTTATGGTAATAATTTTGTCATTTTAGACATCTAAAGCTCTCAATATCCCGATTGGGGACCTGGAAACCCTGAAAGCCCAGCATCAACTGGGTGAACAAACTGTGGAAGAATTTGTGCAAGAAGTAAAAGAATGGGCAGATGGTAAGAACGTGAAACATTATCTGACATGGAGAAACATTTGTGTCGTTTGTGAAGTTGACGCTACCTGCAATCAATTTTGTCAGGAGAAATTGACCATCAAGGCACACCACAAGCTTTGTGTAAGAAGATTGAGGCCTTCACAACCAGCATCAACACGAGAGCTCAACTCCTATATCGGAAAAATGGTATGTTAACATTTAAGGCCTTTTCAGATCACAGTCTGAAATGTCTCCAAACTCACTTCATAATTACAATGTCCATACAGTTCTAAAAAGTAATGTTTCATGTGTTGGACTTCTCCAAAACAAATTGATTTGCGTTCAGTTATTATAAGTACATCTATTATGATCCATCTTGTAGGGGATACACTACTTTTTCATTAGAAAGGTAATCACTGGGGATTAATAATACACTCGTAAATGGGGCACCACCTCCGTTGTTTAGCTACTGGAGTAATCCGGAGGAAATTATTCCACAGATCTAATCAAATCAATTTATCAAATTTCAAAATCTATATTTAATCTCAATATTTCTGAAGTAGTGATTTCTTTTACACGATTCATCGATTTCCCCGCATCAAATCAAACCTGCACAGACAAGGACATACGGTAATATATGTTTATTAACTAAATTAATGAAGAGTAAATAACATGAAATGATAATGTAAACAAATATAATACAAAGATAATGTCTTTGTCCGGCTTAAACGTTTATACGTCTCCTTGAGCGGTCAACCACAGTGATGTCCTTTTGGCTTGTGATCAATGTCTTAAGAAAAGTTCCTCAGAGTGGTTGGTCTTTGGCTTTGATTATAACCTAATCCAACTTCTTGTCTAAAATAACTGTAGGACGAAACGCTGGCCTTGCGAATCCTCTGTAGTCACTAAGTCCAAGAATTAAACTAAATTCACTTTCTGTGAATCGGGCGACAATACTTGTCAAGATATATAAATTAAAAAAACTTATAAAAGAATTAACTTTGTTCGTGTCTTGAGCCTTCAAAATAAAAGTACTAAAAAGTACTTCAGCGCCGCAAATTATTACGTGAGGAAAAATTCAACACGTGTCTCAAACGAAGTAAAATAACGTACGAAATCAAAGTAGAACGAAAGAAAATAACGAATGGATCCAACGTAGATTTAAGAAGAGAGTTTTGGAAGTGTAAAAGTAAGAGAGGTCTATATTATATATGTTTTAGTCTGGAGGCGTATCCGGAAAGGCTAATCGCGTCACTTCCTTTAGCGATATTTCGATATTCGTAACTTTATTAACTCACTTCTATCGTGTTTTAAAGTTTCGAAATCCTAATTCACCATTCACAGAACCCACCATGACTTAATACATAGTTTACATGTTTTAACATAACATAACCGAAATTACTTGATGTAAAAATAAAAGCAGACCTAGTTAAAATGTCACAAACATGCATATGAAGCAACACTAATGGATTGTACATATTTCATATAGTGTTAGCTTAATTCTTGTTATAAAATTGTGTGTCAGGCATTTACCGTTTGGAATAATACACAACTATAAAACAAAATCTGTTTTGAAGATACCTTATGCTATACCAGAATCTTACCAAAAGGTGGCACTGTGGCTCAATCAAACATTCAAGCATTTTACACATGATTTTGTAATTTAGTCCAATCTGAAGACAGAAACATCAGACAAACATTACATTTGCGATCTTCTCATGCTGGATGGCAATCTGTTAATTTTGAGAAGATGAAATTTTAACATAATACTACAACAGAACTAAATCTATATCCGTGCAACTGTTGTTACTGCTTCCTAGATTGGAATGTCCACTATCAAAAGAAAACATCGTAATTTACACTTTAGAGGAAGGGGTGTCAGAATACCAGATGTGGATTCCAGAGGAGTTTCTCTCTGGAGGTGATACAATTTAGATCAAGGAGATGCAAACACATTCCATGTCTATTCCATAGGAATTTACAACTAAAAAGGCACTTAATTATCACACACGATCCACTTTAGGTGTAGGGTGTCGTTCTGATCTGTGGAAGAGGATAAAGCAAATTGACACCTAGAGATCCCATCTGAGAATCTGAAAAGAACCAGGCTCTTGGTGCAGGATACTGTCGGCGCCACAGTCTCACCTCCCCTCCTGGGTCAAAAAGGTGAAGGGGAAAGAGGAGGCCTTGAAAACTCTCCTGGTGGAACATAATCAAAATAATATGATGATTGTTGAATCAAGAGACTGATAAAGCGTCTCTTGTAGAGGAAGACGAGGACAAGGTCCTACATCTTCCTTTCCACCTATACCAACAGAAAAGGGATATAAAAGGTTAAATTGAAGATCTGTGTATTCAACATCATACAAGCTGTCCGAAATTGCTCAGAGGTTAAATGTGTAAAGTGGTCACCCATTTCAAGACTGCCTCCCTCACAGCCAGGTCTTTAATGTCCACAGAGTTGTCGTCAGCAGTCAGCTGCAGTCTCATTAAGTGTTTCCTCCGTGGATCTGGCAAGAATAAAAGAGGGAACAATATTTTTTAATACCTAGAGGAATAGTTCCAAGAGATGAGAAGTTATATAGTCCAGCTCATAATTACTCATAAATCTTACACTTTCATTTTTGTACAAATTAAATAGGGCTGCACAATTTATTGAAACATTATCTATATAACAATATGGTAGAGCGCAACATCCAAATGGCAGGAGCTAAAATTTTTTAATAAAGGCAGAGCAAAGCTAGGTGATCCCCCCCCCCGTTCAGGCTTTATTGCTAAGCTACGCTAACCACCTGCTGGATGTCACTTCATGTTTAACTGACCACTGATAAAAAGAGTATCATCTTCTCAGGTAACTCTCAGCAAAGATTTTCACATTACAAATTACTATTAAACTATTAAATAAATGTATACCGTGGCTACAAAAGATACTACTTCTGTTAGTGTATCAGGAATATGGGATTCATTTAGTCTGATTTTGGTTGCTTTCTTACTTTTGGTTTGCATTTATTATTTGTTTCTTCTTAGTTTCTCTTTGCATGTCTGATCTTTTTCCTTTTTTTAGTTAATCCCATACATGAACCCTCAAAACACACAGCTCTAAAGCAGTGTTCAAGGTACTGTGTCACTTTTGCCTGCAGTCTGAACACAGCCTAAGTGTAGCTTACAGGTAGGAATGCTACTCGTTGCTGCCCTCTGGGTGGTTGGGAGTATAAATAACTTGTTACATATGTATTGGCCCACAGCAACACTAAAATAATATAGCTGACAGCTGCATGCATTAATAAGAGAACTGAAACAGACATTTAAAAGTAACAAAAACTATACCTATACCTATGACTATATCTAGTAACTAATTACTACTACTAAAACTATTAAAAGATAAAGATAATGAAAAAATATCATAGGGTGTGATAGCAGAAAAAGCTGTTAATATTAATGTTAATCACTGCCTCACCCGAAAGTACAAATATGCCAAACATTCCCCTCTCCATGGTCATAAGAAAATAAAAAGGATGTCTGACGAAAGTTCAAGATCTCCCAGACAAAATTAGGAAAAAAGGACCATCATTCAATCTATCATTAATAATGTAATTGTAATGATAATAAAACTCACCTGTGACGGAGAAAGCAGATGATCTCTTTGGGGGCAGTCTTCTCTTGTTTCTTCTATTCTGCCTTTTAAAGCAACACACCCCATTTATTCAAAACAGGTGGCCTGCACTTTCTCTCCCGGAAAATTTTCCCTACGCTACCAACCCACTGGAAATTCACATGATGATGAAAATATGTGCTTTTATTTCTGAAAAAGATTAGCTGCTGTTAACCAAATGGATTTCAATGTTTAATGGGACAAACCCACGAGAATTATCACCTGACTTTGCTTCTGCTCTACAGAGCGTTGTAGCATCTTTCAGCTCAATGTTTTGGTACATTTTGGTTCATTCTCACTACCACAGAAAAGGGCTCCCAAAACACACACGGCATGCTACATGCCTGCTAAAAAGAGCTAGAAATAGCAACTAGCTAACTGGCTGGCTAAACTTTCTCAAAATAATGACGTATTATCAATAACATCGTCACTTGAATTCCTCCTTTGTTTCTGATAGAAAAAAGTCCTAACTGCTTTAATAGTGCTTGTTAATTGAAGGCAAATCTAACAAACCTGATGCTGACTGCAGTGCCCGTTTAAAGATGAGTTCTAGTCTAGTGCAGAAATACCAGATGACACAATGTTCAGATACTCAGTAGATCTTTATTGTTTGCAAGCAAGAGCCATCATCAGCATCACACAGATATGACTGAGGAGAGGCAGTACTTAGACATAACACACATAGCCAACAACAGGATGTACATTATTTCACTGAAGATGTTATTCAACCTTACTTTACTTGGTCTTGACATTTTCTTGGCTTTAAGCACATATATCTATGTATTTAGTTTCCCAACAACATAAAACATTGTAATGTAATGGTGGACTATGCTAGCGAAAGCAGAACAATGTTGGAAAAACTTGATTATAAGAATTTCCCTCACATACAGTCGATGGCATCAGAGATCAGTGAAGTGGAGTCATTGAATTCTCACATTCCACTGACCAGAAAACCACTGAAGGTGGTTGTGCAGCCGGACGCCCAAATACGATTGTCTGGACTCAGGCGCACGTACACCTGATCGTTTTCATTCAGCTGCAGGAATGCTGCATTTCCTGCGTTATCAGCACTGCCTGGGTTCTTATCAAAGGCCTCGACAATGCAGCTGTCGTTCTTCATCAGTTTCAGGGCTGATTTAGAATTTGCTCCAGCATGGTAGAAGAAGGTAAAATAATAATAACCTGCAACAGGAGCTTTGAAGATACCTGAGAAAACAAAAGGGTATTCATTAAATTCAAAGGTTTCTGGAAAGCTTTGAGAAAACTATTGGGGAAACAAACTTCTTTTACCTTAAAAGGTTTGAGTGGATCGAATTGAAAGTACAAAGAATGAATAGAATTACTATTATTATTGTAAGCATTGGGACAGGCATAGATAATGTACTCTGAACTGATAAGAAGAAGTAATATTTTACTTTACATGGTTTAAATATTAGATTATTTTTTACCAATAGGGTTGTTTACCGTTCCTTAGACCTCACTCTTACCATTTGACATTTTACATGAATCGCTACTCGGTATAAAAATAATAAGGTGGAAGATCATTAACCAACCCTAGTTTGCAGTTGAAGTTGAACGGTCGAATAAATGTTACAGATAGTGAGAAGTTACACCCCTAAAACACAGACCATAGAAAATACTCTTAAACATGTGAAATGAACTGAAATTACATGGAATAAAATTAATCTAAAATTTGCATTAAAATACATTCAAATCTACATTTAAGATTGAGACAGATCTCCTGATTGTTGAAACAACAGGTAAGTAAAAGGAAGAAATAATAAAGACATATAGACATACAAAATATGTATTAATTAGAAAATATTGGTTATTGGAGTTTTATTGGTCTGGTATTGCACTGGTAATCAGTAGTTAGATTACTGATATGATTTATGGTACACAGATACAGTATATTTATGTAGTATGTAAAATGTGTCAACATAACTCAAACCAAACAGATAGATGATTGTAAGTGTGGCTGCAGGTGATGTATTTACCTGAAGTGCCGTCGTAGGCATTACCAATGTTGGTAATCACTTTGTTGTAAAGCACAGTTGTGTCTGCTTCAAAGGGTCCAAAGTTACCACCTTTATCTGCCACTGCAGTGAACATGATCTTTTTACCTATATAAAACAAACAAAACTTTATATTATGTAATATCTATCAGCAGATAATCAAACAACAGGAGGCATTGGAGAGGATGTAGTTGTTAGCTTTAATTCACTTTTTGCAGCCTTTGAGTTTACAGCACAGATCAATAAATACCTGTTTGTCTGAATCTATCTATCTATCTATCTATCTATCTATCTATCTATCTATCTATCTATCTATCTATCTATCTATCTATCTATCTATTTATTATTTAACAAATTGTCACTTTTTCTGTTTCAAATCCAGTTTCTATAACATTTTTCCACATGTTAGTTAAGTGAGGCCACCAACCTAAAAGTGAGTCTGTAATTAATTCTTCATTTGTCTTTAAAGATAAAGTTTCACTCTACCTGCCATCTCTGTTGGTTGGTCACTTCTGTTGGGATGGTCGACAGACTGTTTCTCTCTCGTCCTTGCTGCGTCTCTGAAGCTGTGAATCATAAGATCCCTGAAGCTGCTTTTATGCTGCTGTCAAGCACCTCCTTTACCCAGTTCCAGAGAATCTGTGGTGTTGGGAAATGCTTATGGCCATATAGATTTCTAACGTATTTTAAACATGCACCTACTTGTTTGCTGATTTGCAGAAGTTTCACAAGACTATTACTATTATGCTATGTATCAACATTAAGTGGAATGATGGAAATATCTTGGTCCACTATCGTTATCCTTCAAATAAACTTGTGTATACGTTTTTTTTGTTTTTTCACTTTTTCTGTTTTTGCTGAAATACTGACCCAACTATGAAAAGTAAAAGTATTCATTATGCAGTAAGATGGTTCTCTGTCACTGTTATACACACCAGACACTGACAGTCAAATACACGACTCAAAACAGGTTTTAGAGGTAAATCAGTTCTTTTTCACTGAAGCAAGGTTCGATACACATGTAATCTCTGGATTGTGGCTTGTGTTTATTGGCATTAGAGTCAAAAGCATCAAAATATTGTACATATTTTAAGTCTCTTTTAAGAAAACCATTCCTGTTTTGATATCTTATTAATTCTGAACTGAGAAATATTTGAAGATATTACTCAATGTCTGGTGGCACATCTGCAAACCAGTGAACAAGTTAGTGCAGCCCCCATCTCTTTGAGAAATGTATTCTTGTCAGGAAAACATTTCTCATTTCTCATGTCATTTGCTGGTGCCACACCTAAATGGAGCCCAGCCTATGGCAACTGCCCCGACTCACTAACGCCTACTATAGCTCTTGTGCTGTGGAGTAATCCACCGGTTTATTGTGTGTTACATAATCTGATATATTGGAATATAATATTCATAAGTATGTTTTCATTAGTAATATTAATCCAAACACATCCCCCCCCAAAAAATGTATATAACAGTGACACAGAACCATTTTTCTGCACAATGAATACTTTACTTTTCATAGTTGGGTCAGTATTTCAGCAAAAACAAAGACAGGAAAAAAAAAACATATCAATCAGTACACTTAATATTGATGCACTTTAAAAAAAGCTACTTAAAATGACTGCCTTATTCCTCAAAAAGCTGTTTGCTGCTGTTGATTTTTAAAATAGTCTGGCGAAACTTCTGTTTCAGCAAGCAAGTAGGTGTGCGTTTAAAATACGTTAGAAATCTATTCAGCCATTGAGATTTTCCACACCACAGATTCTCTGGAACTGGGTAAATGAGGCATGTGACAATACAGTATAAGATTCAGACTGATATGTCTTTATTTAACTGTTCT